AAAAAAAAAAAAAAAATCCACAGCAAATAATATAACCAGAGTAAGATGGACCAGATGAGTAGGGATTTTACTATAACGTAAATACTACAAGATAATCACACAAGAAAGGATGAGGAAGTTCAGCAGAGACAGGAAAATGTGCCCTACTGAGACTGGATTCTAGACACACAGCCCTCCCCAGGTAACATCTACAGATACTCTCAGGAGCTTAAAAGTGATTTTCCTATTTCAGCCTCCGAAGATGGGTGTGTGCCACCATGCCCCATAAGAAACTTGCAAATAGTGGAATATATGCAACTGGGACTCCAGAAAAAGTAGAAAAAGAACATGGATTAAAGAAAACATGTGGAAAGAAAATGAGAACTTTCCAAAGTTAACAGCAGATAGCAGAGATCCATAAAACTCAGAGAATACCAAACACAGTAAGTACCAGAAAAGACTTCCAGACACAATGAATAAAACTGCTGAAAACCAAAATCAAGATGCAATCTTGACAGTAGCTAAAGGAAAAAATGACACATAAATGCAGAGAGGGTTAAAGATATAAGTAACAACAGACTTCTCGTTGGCAACAATGAAAATGACAAAGAAAAGATCATGAGACAACAACTTCAAACATACATAAAGTGCCAGGAGAAACACAACCTATAAAACAAAATGCTATACACATTAAAAATGGTTTTTAAACTTACGAAAGAAATAAAGATTTTCTTTTTTAGGCAAATAAAAGCTGAAGGAATTCAATGGCTTGCCCTGCAAGATACAGTACATTACAACAAATGCTGTAGGCAGAAGGAATATATGGGCCAGCAAACTTAATCTCCAAGAAGAAGGGAAGTATACCAAATATGGCATGAATAAGTGTGACATGCATTTTTAAAACAATTAATTGTTGTAAAACAACAGGTAGACTGTTCATAGCAAAGAGCAATGATATACTATGTTTACAGTATAATAAAATTAAAATGTCTGACAACAGTGGGAAGAAAATATTGGTGATGGACTCAAAGGCCCTTCCACCACATGGGAAACAAGGCTGATTAAAAATGTATATTGTATAAGCCCTAAATCAACCATTAAAAATTAACATATTAAAAGCCAATAATGAGAACAAGTAATCATAAAAACACTTAATTCAAAAGGCAGTTAATTCAAAAATTCACATACAATTGAGCAACATGGTAGATTCTAATATAATCAGACCAAAAATTATATTAACTGTAAATAGCCCTACACACCCAATAAAAGACAGACTGTGTTATGGGATATGAAAGCAAAGCCAAATTACACAGTATTTATTAGAAACTCTCTTTATAAAAGTAACAGATGAGAGAAAACAATCTTAAATCCTTACACACTAAACAACAGAGCTTCAAAATTCCTGAGGTAAAAACTGACAGAAATAGAAGGAGAAATAAATCCACAAGCAAAACTGGAGACTGCAAAAGTCCTATTAAAAAACCCAGAGAACAAGTGGATAGAACATTACCCAAGATACAGGATCCAGAAAACGGAAGTACCACCATGAATCATCTTGACAGTTACTGAACTCTGCCCAACAACAGCAGAATATGTATTTTTGTTAAATGCACAGGGCATTCACCAAAACAGAACATTCACTGAGTTAAAAAATAAAAATTAAAAACCCTACCAAACTTTAAATGGCTGAAATCATAAAACTTATGTTTTCAAACCAAAGCTCATACAAACAAAAATTCAAAATGAGTCACAGACCTAAATCTAACATTTAAAATGTTCAGAATATAAATGTTTATAATACCTTTATAATACCTAAAATGTTTGCAATACCTTTTACAATCAGTTGGTGAATGTGTTTCCCTAAATTCTGTGGGCATCATGGAAAATTTCTGAATCTTTGTCCCCTACCTGCCTCCGCAATGGGGGATGGCGGGGGTGGGGAGGGGAAGGGGGCAGGCGGTTTCTGCCTAAACTACAATATGATATAATTTTGCACAAGAAAGCCAAGGGAGAGAGAGTAACGTTGGTAAGAAAGAACAGATAGTTGTATTCATACATCAAAATCAAACCAGATACTAAAAAAGTTGGGACCTATTATAGAAAACGGACCCTCGCTTCAATTCTAAAATATCTAGGATTTCCTAACGTTCATTAAACTTACTCTTAGTATCCAATGAAACTTTTTAAATAAAAAGGTCCAGTTACTCCAAGGAATTAATGAGTGACACAGTATACATGGAAATACAGCTTTTAAGTCTTTGACAGAGAAGCACAATTCCTTCAACAAGTACATTGAGTACTGCTCAGGACTGATCTTAACAACAATAATACCAGAAAAATACTACTTCAAAAGGTAAAGTACATCTCTTTCGCTTTTTAATATATTATGTTTACCTCAAAGCCAAGTCTGTCCTTCTCTTTCCAAAAACAAAAATGTGTTACTTTCTTATCCCAGAACTCATCTGGCTTCACAACACAAACAAGGGACACTTCAGCTGGAACAACATTCTGTAAAATATAAAAATACAAATCACATGTATAAAATGAGTTATTCACTTATTTACAAATAACTAGGTTTTAATTCTTATGCTAAGTAAAAGATTCTGGGAAAGAAAACAAAGTAGAAGAAAATCTCCAAACTTCAACATAAATGGCAATACAGAAAAACGTGAAAGACAAGCCATTCAGAACAAATCTCAAACAATGTTAAACTGATAGCATACATGAATTGTTTTTGTCCTATTCAATCTATGTACTAGTAGTATATTTAGATAAAATGCAAGACTTAATTGTAGCTGACAAGTTATTAAAATTATTAAATTTCTGTGATACAAAAACCTTTTCATACATGATCATCTGAAGAACTTCAGAAGATATAAAATCAATTTTCTCATAAAATGTCTGTTATCAGCCATTACACAAAGATAAGATTCTGTGTGCTTATTAATTTGAAGAGGACAAAGAGCTAGTCTCTGACAGAATATAATTTCACATTTACTAGATATGGCTATTTACATTACCTTAAGAGGAATGGAAATTAACATTTATCGCCTTCATAAGTACGGCGGTGCCTTAGCTCACAAGCCTAATTTGTTCCACAATTCTAGAAAAGATGGTCATGTTCATGTTCATCACCTACCGCAGTGTTTGCAAACAAAAATGTTGCCAAATGCTTGTTTGCAAATCCAAATGTTCACAATCAAACGCACTTGTAAACCAAGGTACACTGCATTTCACATCTATTTTAACAGGAAGTCCTACAGATTCTAACTCTGAAATACATCTTAAAGCAAAACATTTTTATCACCTGCACTGCTAATCGCCCCCAAACTGGCCAGGTTTCTCAAATATCATGTCCTAACAAGTCTGAGTGCTTACCATCTTCTTCCCTAGGGATGAAATTCAAACCCTTGGCTCAGGCCCTGAGGCCCACCAAGGTCAGTCTGTACCAGCCTCTCACACCTGACCTTCCACCTCTCCCCCTTGTTCCTCCCCTCCACTATTACTTGGATGCTGACCTTCCTTGTTCCTGGAATGCAAGCTGTTCCCACCTCAAGACTATGCCAAGCTCTACTTCCTCCATGGGGAATATTTCTTCCCTATACTGAGTACTTCCTCAGTTATTTAACGTTTTATTCAAAATTCCCTTCTCACCAGAGGCCTTCCCTGTCCACTCCTTCTAAAGAGTCTCCCACATCTCCAGTTACCCCTGGCATGGACTGAGAGCTGATGTTACATTATTTATTAATTTTCTCACCTGCTCACTGTCTGACCCCTCAAATAGCATATAAACTTGCCACTTGCAGGTCCTTATCTATTAGTTTACCCTTTATTTCCATTGTTTGTCATACAAAGATACTCCTCAAATATCTGTTGAAAAAGTGAAATCTCATTAACAAGTGCACCTCATTCTCAAAATTTACAGCAGAATAAACTTTAGCATCAGAGAACTGAAGCATTTTGTCTAAGTTAAAAAGTAACAGAGCTAGCACAGAACCTGAGCACGTCTGATTGTGAAGTTCTTCTATACCATTTTTACGCCATTGATCTGAGGTCAGTAAATGATTTCACAAAGGTCCAGGCAACAAGTATTTTAGGCTTTGCAGACTATATAGCCTCTGTTACAACTGTCCAGCTCTTTCGAGGTAGAGTGAAAGTATCCATGAATGCTAAATAAATGGTGGGTGTGACTAAGTTCCAATAAAGGTTTATTTAAACTCAAGAGTCCAGCCTCCACTTCAAACTGTAAAGGGATGCACTACATCATCGTCATCATCATTATCATTGAAAAAATACACATCTTGCAATGTGAACGTCACTGGGCTTGGGATCTAGCCCTCCCCACAACGATTAGGGTGTGACTAAAATGAAGGAAGCAAAAGAAATTTAGTGATTTTGAACTTTTTACAGAGTCCAGAAAATCTAGGGTAGATGTGAAGTTTATTCAAATATTCACTGTTGGAAGTTTATTATTTCAAAACCTTTGACTTGAAATCTGTGAGAAACAAGAATTATTATTTCTTACAGTTATAGGCAGAGCCAGTACCAAGGTCTGGCCTCCCAAACATTTGGCACCAGGATCTCTGGGGATAAAAGCAATCAATGACTCAGAGGTAGAAATGATGCATGACTAGAAATAGACAACAGGCCACTGCAACTTCTGGAAATGTTAACTATTAATAAATCCAAAAGTTGTTAAAATACCTATCAGAAAAGAAATCCCAAGAAGGAATTAAACCCATAGATCGGTCTTCAAAACTGCCAAAGTCCAGTTCAAACAGCAAGTCCCAAACAGCTATCTGTAGCACAGGTGAATGACAGGATGAAAGGAAGAACACAAGATCATGATGAATGGACTTCTAACCTGAGAGTTATTTTAACAACTTTTACAGAGGACAGTTCATCTTTAGAATTTGGGACACAAGAGTGCCAGAAAGCTATTTGATGGAAAAAATACAGAGGATATGAATCTGTGCTCCCTTAAAAGCTGATCTTACAGACAGTAGCCTTTCTAACCCAAGAAAGTGATGCTAATGACAAGAAGCTGAGGTCAAACACTTATGAAGAGGCAAAGGCTGAGAACCTGGGGACCACCAGGGATACGGGCTCTGGACAAACACACTTAGCAGCGGGGAAAGCCAAGGGATGGTTCTCGTGTTTAAATAACTAAGTTATTTAAAACCCTTGCACTTCGGTTGACATTTAGAGATAGCCTGCTCTATGAGGTAGTGAGGCTAAAATTAAAGGAAAGATAATTTATATAACAAGTTCAGCACAGTACTTGAACCATATTAAGACTGGACTGAAAACTAAAAACTATAATCACTTGGTTTCCACTCCGAAATCACTTTTCCCAACTATCTTAAAAAAAATCATAAAACATTAAGAATCATTCTCCCTAGATATCACTTTAATTTTTAAACTGCCTTCATTCCCACAGAACCCTACAGCAGCTCCCAATTGTTTCTCATTGCTTTTCATGTCGTCCTCCCCTCCTCTCCTTCAGCCTCTCATCATCACCAACACTCACCTGGTCCCATGCCACTATTAAACTACTTCCTCCCCAAACTGGCCAACTATCAGCTCCCTTCTCTAAGGCACAGTCCAGCCCAGGATAACTTTTCATTTCTGTTCACTTAAATATTAAATAATTTCTTTTTATTTAACTCAAAACTTACTTTCTTTAGGAGCCCTTCTAAGAAAAGCGAGATGCATGCTAGCAATCCGCCCCCCTTTCAATCCCTCAAATGCTTTACTTTTCTCTGTCACATATTTTAAATGCTCTTGTAATAAATCAGTAATATTTACAAGACATGTACTATAGGCCAGAGATCACAGAAACATTCTGTGAGGAGAACAAAGAAATATAAAGCACAAGGCTACAGGGTCGGCTGGCAAGGACTTTATAATTGCAGATGTATATTAAATGCTAATTTGTAACTGACTGAACCCTAAGGTCCCAGCTGAGTATGTTTCTTCTGGACATCACATAAATAGTACAGTCATCATGAATTGGGAAGTATTTTGGAAAAAAAGAGGGTCCCCACTGGGAAGCCATTCCAGATCCACTTGAGAAGCCTTCTGCTCCGCCTCCCTAGGCCTGCTTCATGCCCACTGTGCGGAACAGAGCACCAGGCAGCGTGATGCGCACACACAGCACGCAGAGCTCCCAGCGCGTCTGCAGGAGCTGACCTGCACACTTCAAGAGCTGCTGGCTCTTAAATTGCTTAAATTACTGCAACATGGTGTATTATTTTCAGTCTTATACAAACCTTTACAAAAGAGCTGAGATTTACTTTACTACATAAATTCAAATATACAATACATGTAAATAAACTTAAGTAATCCAATAGATGCATATACATTTTCACAACTCAGTTACTACTAAAACATCCAGGCCCAATAGTCCAGTCAGTAAAATGCACTTTCATTTTCATCATGATCTGTTGCTGTAAAATATAAGCATTTCCTCCTGATAGACCAAAAAGAAAAAATTACCTGTAGCATTAAGACTACTGTCTTCACCACATTCCATTGTGATTTTCTGCCATCCACAATCACAGTAAATCCTCTAGCTTTACATTTTTCACTGAAACAAAACAAAATTACAAAACTTTAAACAAACACAAATTTCACAATTCTAAGTAAAGAAGGTAAAAGGCTTAATAATTATGGGGTAGAAGTCACATCACAAAATTTGGCCCCAATTAGCACTAATTAAAATTCTCCAGAGTATTCTTCCAGGTTTCTGAAGCACTTTACTTTTCTCATCTTAGGAAGAACAAATCTGCAAGCTAATATTTTAAAAGCAGGGGAACTTCAAGTCTTAAAAAGTGATGAAATCAAGGCAATATCCAAGTAGTCCCAGCAGCTTCAATTTCTTCATGTCATCACATTAAATGGGATCAGCAGGAAGCAGGTAACTAATGACTGCCAAGTGCCTTGCAGACTTCCAGTCTTTCCTTCTTACCACAAATACATGTATGAAGTGATAGTTTTGAAAAGGGAGAAAACAATAACTTTTCTGTTGTCCAGGGTTTCACTATACAGCCCAGGATGGCACCTCTTTTTTTTTTTTTTAATGTATGTATTTGGTACAAGGTCGCACTACATAGCTTGGACTCGTAGTGATCCTCCTGTTTTCAGCCTCCCTAGCACTGGGATTATAGACATGTACTGCTATGCCTGGTCTCACTGGCCAGCTCGGCGTGCCCAGGGCCAGGGCCAGCACAGCATGTGGTGCCAGATGTTGAACCCCAAGCACCCCACTTGTGACCCTCCTGCCTTAGCTTCCTGAGTGCTTAGGTTTCCAGTATGTGCCACCACACCCAGCAGTGAACCATCACTGAACCAAGGGAGCTAGCTGCTTCGTGCTCTTTTGAGAAAATGTATTGAGATAAGGTAGTACTTGCTCTCCAAAGTGACGGCAAGCTTGAGTACATCATGTCTGACCCACCACTACTCTCATTCTGTCCCTTGACCAGCAAAATGTGATCCTGTGTATTAGACAGTGTTAATGTTACATAATATTCAATTATTCAAGTATTTATTAAATAAATTCCAGAAGTCTGCCCTAGTAAAATATAACTTATGTACAGAAAATTCCATCTTGAATATGAAACTATATACTTATTACTATTGCTATTACTTCCCTTGTTAACTTAATCCAAGGATCTTAATTGGCCTCACTCCAATATAGAGAAAAGAACTGTAGCCTGCTTAGCAGAGCACAGATGCGACAGCGGGAGGTATGCCCACCCACAGTTCTTGCAGTGCCATACATTACAGGAAAGGCAAACAGCAGGCCTCTTCTGGGATTCAAGTCCAAAGCCAGGAAGGTTTCGCTGGTCTCTCCCCCCCGCCACCCCCCACCTCACACTCATAAGAGTCTGAAGACACTTCCTGAGAAGCAACGTGTGTCTAGTTCTGCAGAGAAACAGGAAGACCACAGCAGGAGGATGATGATGCACTAAAACGCTAAAGATGAAGGAGCTCCTCTCTGGGCAGGGACAGAGGCTGCTCTTCCAAAGTGGAACACATGTCCACACAAAAACTGCATGGAAACGCTTAGCACTGTAATTCACAACAGTCAAAAAGCAGAAATAAAAATGGCCACCAACTTGTTAGCGTAAACAATGAAATATTATTTAGCCACAAGAATGAAGAACTGACACATCACAACATAAATTAACTTTGAAAACATTATGCTAAGTAAAAGAAGCCAGACACAAAAGGCTCATATTGTATGATTCCATTCATATAAAATGTCCATAGCAGGCAAATCCACAGAGCTGGAATGCATGCAAGCGGGTGACAATGGCTGTTGGGAGAGGAGTGGCCAGTAACTGTTAATGGGTACAGAGATTATCTTGAATGATGAAAGTTATCTGGAATTAGCATGATTTATTATATATGTGTCAAAAATCACTGAATTATATATTGTTTTATTAGGGGGTGAATTCGTATAATACATGAATTAAATCCTAATCTCTCCTTTTGGATCTGCACTACAAAATAAAGTATTTTTCAAGGAACAAAAAGGTGAAGCAAAACAACACTCACTTCCAGATTAGCAATGGACTACGAAAACGTTCCTGCATAAAGGAAAGCAGGTCTCGCCCTAAGAACCAGCTGTGGTCTCAGGCAAGCAGAAGAGCCCAGGAGGGAGTTCTGGACCTGAGAAGACTGCTCTGTGTGTGGTCTCTGGACAAGAGGCAACAAGACAGGGACCTTCCCGCACACCAAGGGGGTCTGCAAGCAGCAGAGCCAAGACACAGAGCTGCCTGGTGGGAGCCATTCCCAGGTGAGACACTCCTGTCATCAGTGTCTGTATCTGCGGGATACAGATTACACAGCCACTGTGCTAAATGAGTGTTACAAAACTACACATTTATATCTTAATGATACTATAAATCGCGTATTTCAACTAAGAACATAATGAAGCTTGCAAATACCATCTGTAATGATCTCAAAGCAATAAAACTTCACATATATCTTTGAGAGTACTTAAAAGCACCCTTCATCACAATTTTCTCACATTTTACTACAAAAACAAAAATGTATACAACTCAAACATATTGAAAAATAAAAAAGACTACTTGCTATACTTTCAAGTATATCAAAGGAAACTATTTTTTAACTTTATTCCTCCAGGTGGAACAGGGGTTTAAATAGCTTTTTAAAACACTATTTCATTCAGAAGCATGTTGTGCCTTGATTCCTTTACAAAAGGCATGCTGAAAGACCTAAAGTACTGTTATTAATAAATCCCAATACTGCTACTGTTTGAAACTATTTTTAAAGCAGTCAAATAAAAAAATAATACACTGCAAGATCATGTCTTCTATGCCTACTCCATTACAGCCTTCCAAAGGTGGCATGGCTGAGTCAAGACAGCTCTGTAAAAGCAGCGACGCCCTCAGTGAGGGCTCCCTCATTCATTCTGACACAGCGCTTCTGGAGGGATCTCCTGGGGTAAGCATCCTGCTGCTCTTCACTTATTCTCTCTGATCAAAACCAAGGCGCCCTTCTCTTCCATTTACAGAGTTCCACTTGTGCTTATTAATGGCACTAACTTTACTCATGCATTTATTGTAATTATTTGTTTGCAGGTCATCTTCACGAGCAGTAACATGATCATCTTATTAATATCCTGGCAGTTTCCAGAGCAGTACTTTAAATTCAGAGGGTCTACACTGTGCAGTGACACACATCCCATCACTCCTGAGTTGAACACAGTGGCTTTCCTTCTTATTCAGAACCGAACCCCCACCCCCACCCCCTACCTGCTTGTTTGTGACCCCAGCCTCCTTGGGACCACTTTTTCAAAAGTGCTGGAAGCACACCAGCCTCCTCCATTTCTTCTAGAGTTGGCCAAACCTGCTCCTGCCTCCGGGCCTTCACACTCATCACCTCCCTCCCTCCCTCCTCTCCCATCCTTCTTCTCTCTCAGGCTTTCATCAGCTATCTGTACATCTGGGGTGAAATGCTACCTTATCATCTGGTAGACTTCACCCCCCACACCCTCCATCACTTTTCTGACTCCCCATGTTCCACATGCTTGTGTTTGGGTCAGTGAATCCGCCTTGCTCAGCACCTAGGACAGAAGCTCCTGTAGACAAGCTCCTTGTAGGCAGGCACATATTTACTGAATGACTGAAACCATCAGCTTCATCTTTACATGACTTCTGCGAAGTCATTAGCTCCTTACCAGTCCAATTATTTAAACACAGGGTGACTAAAAATTGAATTGTTTCATTAATTTTATAACATGAAATATTTAAATAGTATCACACTTATTCAGTATTTTTTCAATGCACGGTGTATTTTAAAATATTCAACACAACACAATGTTACAATTTGGACAGTAGTATCTAGTTTCTTTCTGAATACTTTTGCATTACTGTCGTTCTTTGAACAACATACTTTATACCGCTGCTAGCCTTTCTCTTCTTTTTCTGTGACTTGTATTTCAATGAAATGTCTACTCACTAAACATAACTGTGAAGACGCCACAATGAATGTCCTAGTTGGCATTTGACTGTACCCTTTTTTCCATTGTTCTGTCTATTAGACTTAATCTAAATTGTAAATGATCTTTCTTAAAAATGTTTTTGTTTTATTTTGTTTTGAGCCAAGGTCTCACTATGTGGTGTAGGCTGGCCTTTAACTTGCTTATGTGGCCCTGGCTGGCCTCCAACTCATGACAATGCTCCTGCCTCAGCCTCCTGAGTGCTATTATTACTGGCATGTGCCATTACATCCAGGTTTGTAAATAACTTTTGAACTCTCTTGTTCTGAATAAATAACAAACAAATTCCCTATTGTTTGGTCCAGAAGGTACATAAATATTTTATATCTTTTCCTCATTTTTTGATTATGAAATAGCTTGTCAGAGGTCAAGCTATTTGGGATAACACCACCCACAGCATCATAATCACTGACCACTACTGGAAAGCCTTTAGTTTCATTTCCCCTTTCACGTGCCTCAATCTCAGGATTATAATTCATTGATAATTTCTGTCTTTCCATTTCATAACACAGATTCTTCCTCTCTGATATGTCAACATTTCTTCCTTTCTCAGTTCTTTCTGCAGATCCTTGGGCGCTTCCTTTCTACTCAATCTCAGTATTCTACACAGGTTTGTTTCATATTGTAAAAGGACATCACTGAGTTCTGCAGAAGTATAAAATTATTAGCATTATTATAAGAGCTAATAATGTACTTATGATAGCTTTTCATAGACTGCAGCTCAAAATTATAGGTTATTTTTCACAAATAAAACAATAAAAATTATCTAGAACTTATATTTAATTTCACTACACAAAGGCAAATACAACATTCTAAATAAAAAGCATGCAAACATATTTGATATAAAACTCATAAACAGACATCTGAGTGTATCTCTTTTTTTTCAGGTTGCAGAAATATATTTAATAATGAAGATTCTTTAGCATGAAGTTACAGGATTCTGAGTAGTCTGAATCAGTTGACCACTAGCTAAAGTAATCTAGATTTACTGATCTAAATGTACTCAGTTTGGCTGAATGCAATAACCAAGCTGCTGGCTTATCTCATGAATATACCAC